ACGCCCTCACCTGGACCCGCCCCTGATATTGTCTCGCGTTTTATAATTGTTGACTAATTCATTAGTGTAGACAATGATATATCTGAAATGTCAACGCTGATTAACTCATGTAGTTTCAAGTTTTCAAGTTTTAAGGTTGTAAGGGCGTGCATATTACCAACGGTGGTACATTTGCTAAGCTATCTGATTAAAATGGTACAACTTAGGAGGCACATATGCGTCACCTTTAATTTTAATTTGAAATTATCTCATTCTGGTACGTACAACTTATTACTACGTACACAATAGTATGCTGTGTGAAGATACTTTCTTGTACGTACACGATGGTAGGCTATAAGTACCACAATGAAATATTATGTTGTACGTTCTTGTATAATGATATGATCAATATCGCCCGGGCGGTTAGGAAGGTTACAATAAAAAGTATTAATTTTCAGATTATCTATAACAAGCGGTCAATAATATAATTATGCAACTTATGCTAGTATATTTCCGCCGAGCGTTGCAAGTTGCAATTTGGGGTTTTGCGGAGGTGGTAAAATAAAAAACACACTTAAGGGTCAAGATACAAAGTAGACGAGCGTAGCGATGCCAACAAATATTGTTTTAATAAAGAAAATATAGTAAAAATATCNTAAATCCGCGCCTGTCCATCACATCAGTCTATCATAATTTGATACTTCCGATATTGCATGATTTTGCATAAAATACTGTTTAGATTTAGTACCAGATGCAGTATGCCAAAAATGAATAACAATGCGATCACCAGTTGTTGCGTCCTTCAAGGTACCATCTGTGATGCTTGGAACCGAAAACGTGGACAACAACTCACTTAATTATATATTAGTTAAGAATGAACAGTAATGCATGTTAATATCAAATAGTTAATTAGTAACGTGTGTACATTATGAACCTTGTCATTACTCAAAAGAGATAATTGTGGCTACCAAAGTAACAGTCAACCCCTGGAACTAAAAATCCATCATAATGGCTTACGGCCTGGTATCTTGATAAAAAACGCAAAAGAAAAAATAACGTGATTGTACCTATACACTTTGGTAATAGATATAGCATGTCATTATGTCAAACACATACTAGCTGTGACCTCGATGACGTGATTGAGAGATGACCTACTTAAGAAAACCCGATTCCTAGTCACGGGTTAATTACCTTTTTACTAAAAGTTGCATTACAATCTGACTCAAATGTCGTTATATGCACATGTTATTTTACGCGGGGTATGCAGACGTAAAACTTAAGATTTGTGCTTGTTTCACCACTTATACAAACATCATAAAAAAATCGAAAATTCATACGCTTGCAAAAAGAGCCACAGATAATTAATTTAAGTCACTCGACGGTTTAATACATAAGAACACAAATAAACACAGACCTACGTCACACAATAATCAGTGACCTCAATAGTAAGTGTACAAAATCGTTTTGTTTTATAAGACACAAAACAAATCCTAGTTCTTCATTAAATATTGATAAAATCGCCAGTAATACAACGTTTCAAACAACCTACATCATCAAAATACTAATAAACATAACTATTTCTGTGAATTATATATATCTCGTTTAATATAAATCATTCATTCTTTCCAATTTTACAGATAAAATGACAAGTACTTAAGCAGTTGCTCTCAGGTTTTAAAATCTTGATAATGTTAAGTACAAGGTTTTATGGATTTATAAAAGCAGTCAAAAATGTTACTTTAATACGGACGGACGACGCAAGACGCACGATGCACGACATCAAATATAGATCGCAAAAAGGTAGCTTAAAGTTAGTCTCGGGTGACCTTAAAACGAATAATTATTCTTTAAAACGAAGTAAATTTTCAATATAACGAAATAACAATTCGATAAAACGAAATAATAATTCGAATATATGTTCCATCTATTTTATCTGGAAAATAGTTTTCTTAAGTTATCGAGTTTAGCGAAATATTACTATATGTTGACTTTACTAGATACAGCAGATATGTTATGGAAATACTTTCGGGAGTCTTCACAGTGATTTCTGGTTTAAACATGAATTATGTTAGGGGGAAAAAAGCATCATTAGTCGGCATGACGGCGATTCATTTCCACAGAAGTGTGAGGGACGTTTAATGCAACCAGAATCGTCTAGGTTTCAAAGGATCCTTTGACACACGTAAAGTTCAAAGCGAATGGACCATCGATGTTACTTTTGTCCTTCACTCGCCAGCCAGAACTGGTCAAAAATGCTTCTTTGTTTTCTGTTCCCCAGCCACATCCGTGGCCTGTTGAATTCTCTACCGACAAACTAGCCGGGAGACACATCAGGGGACTGAGGGCATACTCTATACCTGCTATATTCGGATCACCAACGTTCTCCCTTACATTACTGTGTAAGTCTGGGTCAACAATGGACACGACCCCGTCGTCCTTCAAGACGCGGTGAACTTCTTTCATGGCATTTACAGGATCTGGCAGACCATGCAAAAGTTCAAACAAGACAACCCAGTCAAACTTGCCGGTCCAGTCAGCTGGCAAAGATGTCGCATCTTCTTTCACAAACGTCACGTTTTTGATACCTTGGGATTTGGACATTGCTTTCGCTTTTGTTATAGCATCTTCGTTGAAGTCAACACCGTATATGTGTTTGTATGGAAAACGCCTGCTTAACGCTCTCGTGACCCATCCTCTCCCAGACCCTAGATCGAGTATGGCAGTAATCGACCCTAAAAGTAGAACGTATTATATAACATTTTGTTTATTTGATACTTTTGAACATGAAGCATGCGTAATTTCTTAAAGAAATAAACTTTGTTTTTGTTCGAACAAATTTAATATGCATATTATATTGTCAACATTTATTTCATGTTCACAGAAATAAGCTTGGAATAGGATTCAAATTGTGTGCCTTTACATGTTTGAGTTCAAAAACAAACAATGATGTTTGTTACGAATATGAGCGGTGTCATTAATGTTAACGATATCATACAGAGGCGGTATAGAGTATTCACATCTGTATTGACAATGCCACGGAAACTTACTTATGGGTTTAGTAATAGGCAAAAGGAGTTGTTCGACCACCGATTCAGGATCCGTTGTTATTTCATCAATAGCTTCAACTAAATCCGAGGGCATTTCTCCGAAGCTTAAACCTATAATACATGTGATTGATACAGTCAACTAAGATATGATTAAATGAAATTGTGCAAAAATCATTTCGTGGGTATATATTGAACAAAATATATGTGATGTGAAGAAGAGCTAACATAGAATCAGATACAATATGCTTGTATTCGTTTTGTTCGAAAAATGATATTATTTGAAACAGTCATACCCGTTTCAGCTAGGAAACTATATCAATAGACATTATTAACATTTTTAGAATAGTAATCTAAACTTTAAATGACGTATCTAACAGCTGTATATAACGCTAACCTTTAGGACCATCTTTTCTGAAGCAGTTCTTTACTTTTTCAGTCAAAGTACCCATGAAAGGAAAGAAAAATGTTAAACTGACAGCATTAAGTCCCGGCTTGAGTTTCTGAGGAATATAGTAATTGTCAGACTCATCAAGCGACACGATCCTGGCGGATACAAGACAGCCCAGCCACTCCCGAACATACCTACAAAGGGAGGTAATTACACGTTATACATCACTAGACGGACCATACAGCCCAGTCACTCGCGAACATACCTACAAAAAGGGGGATTATTACACATAACATATCACTATTTAGAGCATGAAGACCAGTCACTCCAGGACATACCTTTAAAGGGAAATTATTACACAGAAGACATAATACAATAGTCAGATTTTACAACCCAGCCACTTCTGTCCATACCTACAAAGGGTAATGCGTCAATATTCAGATCATAAAGCCAAGCTACTCCCGAACCTAAAATGGGAGATAATACCACGTAATACATCACCTCTCAGATAATACTTCATACAACTCAGCCACTCATAAAGATAATGTCAAAGGGGGGTACATTATACGTAATATACACTAGTCTGGCCATTAAGCCCCTTACGGAATATCTATAACGGGAGATAATTACACGTAATACATCACTAGTCATAGACTATACAGCCCAGCCACTCCCGGACATACCTACAAAGGGAATTAAATTACACGTAATACATTATTAGTCCAACCACACAACCTAGCCATTCCCGGATTCAACTACATGTACAAATGTTGGTAATTACAGATATTTTTAACCTCATCTTTTCAATAGCGTGTCTGATTGGATAACATTAATTACTTGATGGTAAAAACTTACCCAGGAGCTCGAGTTTCTTCTACCAAATTTCAGTTAATCATAACTACTCTAGAAAATGAGGAGATGATTTGAGTGGCTGAAATCCTGATCAGTTAAACTGTTGTGTTATTAAACTGTGTTGGTATTATAAAATTTGTTTGTCTATTGCAGTAGGAAACCTTCGCCGTCCTAAAATATGATTAATCTCGGGAGAACAGTGAACCGTATTGTCACAAGGACAATACAAAACAATAAGAGAATACTGAAGTATATACAAAACCAAAATTCAAACTCAAAATCTGTAGAACTGGGGCAAAATATTACCAAAGGAAAAGTTTCCATGGAAACCCTTGCAAAAGTACAACGATATTACGACCAGGTGTTCCGGGAGGGCAGGCTTCGGCTTCATCGATGAAACCCCCTTGTAATCTATGTCAAATCCAAGCAATGTCACGTCCTCACATCGAGAACTGAGGTAGTGACAACAAAACCACCAGGCACTCTTATGAGCATAATAAAAAACACATCGACTTTCATAACAATAATGAAAAAATGCCTATTTTCCTGTGGGATTCTGATGGCGACCATGAAACTTGTCAATAGCCTTTACCAATCTGCATCATTGGAAACCCTGTGTTTTAACTTGCCCGTCAGCAGTCGACATCGATCACGGAAGTCATGATCTTCGGAGCAAGCGTTTGGGTGTCTTATCAACAGCGACATTTAAACACCATAGATAAGGGAAGCAGGAATGTAGCTATCGTGAAAGGTAAACATCAATGTCAGAAAGTCAAAATCGTTCCGCGTATCGAACAGCGTAGAAGTAAGCCGTCCCTGTCGGTCATGTTGAAGGTTCAGATCGTGGAAAGCGGCTTGAGTATAAGGGTCTATTGTGTCCTTGATTTCAGGTTCTGGAGGATATATAAGATCGATATAAGATTAACTGTAGATAGGAGTATACATCAATTAATTAATTAAATAATGTATTCTTGTTATTCAAAGACAGGACATCACCAATTTACATCTGAATGTGAAATTGAAGGACTTGGCAAGTTCTTTGTTTTTTCATTTCAACAAATTTTATTCATGTTGGTATATGAATGGGATCGAACAACAGGCTATGCTTATATCAGTTCTCTCCTGCATGTATTTGTATGATACAGTATATATATATATCATAATTCATAGTGAAATGAAAAATTGAAAAAAAAATACAACTTATATGCAAAACATATATCAATGTGTAAGTCAAATGTATAGGGGAGATAACGCAACTCTGCTACTCTGACCTCACCAGGGTAATGAGTTAATATTAACCATCTTCCTTCACTAGATCTGCCCTGGTAATTTAAGATTCACACAGAGTTACTCGTAGAAAGTTAAATGTTAAGCTTATATACCTTGAATATTTTGAATAAGCTATGCCATTATTGTATGGTGTATTAACATTCATATTTTAACATGTTAATGTTTATGATTTTTATTGCCAGTCCTAAGAAGCTCATCAATAACTTTCAATAAATTTAGATTCATTTTAAAACAGAAACAAATCGGCAAGAAGAGGGGCATACTTTGTTCTCAGTCTACTGGGAAAATCTTGCTACCGAACTCAACCAAGATGTTATCAACGAGAAAGCATACTCACAATATAGTTGTTAGTATATTTTAATTTGGCCTTTGTTGTATTTTTCAGATAACATAATATGCAACCACATTTTTTTCCTTGAAAAGCTCCCATAACAAGAAAACTGGAACGAGGAACGATAGTGGAAATGGTTGAAAAGTCAACCATTCGATAGAGGAAACCTTTTTGAGAAGTGGATGTTAAAGACTGATCAAAATCCACATACCGTTTATACCCCTTTTTGAATATACAGTATCACAATACGACTGTAACTATGACTTACTGGTACTGAATGTATAATGGATCACTAGTCCGATCCTATAGCCCTGCCACTCCCAGATAAACTAACAAAGGAGGTCATTACAAACTAGCATTACTAGTCAGACCAAAAAGCCTTGCAACTTGAGGCCATTCCTACAAAAGTAGGTCATTTAATGTAAAACATCGCTAGTAATACCAAACAGCGACTCATAGACATACCTACAAACGAAAGCAAATTATGTTTTACTTCACCAGAAAGACCTTACGTCTTAGACACTGCTAGACGTGCATATATCTACAAAGCAGGTTAATAATGTTAATCTCAAGCGAGACCCTACAGACCTACTCTCCACCATGTCAACAAGGGAGACAAGTTAGCATATCACAGCGCTAGTACTATAAGATTGTACAGCCAATTCAATGGCGGCCATACCTACAAATGGAAATACATCACACCACTTATTTCGCATAAACCAGTTACCATAAAGTCAGTCAAGACAATTGCTACAAAGAGAAATAGCCACATGCCAGTTATCATTAGTCAAAACTAACAACTCAGCAACCTCCGGACAATAGTGAGGTAATTATAGGAATACTTTACTAGTCAAGTCATGTAGCTCTTCCACTCAACTGCCGGACATACTGACATTTGCGAAGTAAGTTAATAAGACGTCATACATCACTACCCGTATACACTGCCTAGTCACCCTAGTATATACCTATCAACAAGGGAGATAACTACAATTTATATTATCTCATAAAATAAACTCATTGAGGTACACATGTACAAACACACGACGTTGATTCTGAATTCCATGACCTGGCAATATGACACTGCAATGTTGAACAAACACGTGACAGCTGGATGTGTGTCACCGGGTTCATAGCATAGAAGACAGATACCCGGCACCATGAACAGCGTACAATGTACGTCTGTTGAATCTTAGGAAATTCAAGAAATTAAAAGTTTTCTCTGCTGAAAATCAAAACCGTTTGATTTTTTGACTCCCTTGCAGCACTTTTCGGTATGAGAATATCATTTATAACAGGATATGTGATGGTAAAATGTAATAAAATTATTTAATGATAAAATGTATGCGAAGTAAAACGAATAATTGTTATATCATCACATGAAGGTGTACCAATATCCATACTGATTGGTCATTCCCTACCTACAGAGTTCTCCAGGACATCCTAACGTTTTTTTTTTTCCCCCCCCCCCCCCAAAAAAACAGCAACCCCCAATTGATAATATCTATTATGATATTGCAGTTCTTACAGTAATATATGTCTTACTGTTGTGTACCAGCAGACAGGTTATTGCATTGATTGAAATGTTATAATAAAGATGCTTAATAGTATGTTTTCCTAATTGTTAATATACATATATATTATTCTTTCAGATCATACAGCATCCTTTGTCATCCCGAATAATTCAAACGTGGTGTACGTCAGAAACACCAGACATTTAAACCTCAGTCACCTCCTTATGTCAGCCAGAATCAGTTTTTTTATGCTGGACCTCAACTGCCCTGGGTCTATAATTACCACATTCATTGATGAACATTCGTGAAAAATGGACATGAATTGAGATGTGTTTGTGTGGAAATGAAAAACATTTTCAGTTGATAATTAACTTAAACTATCAGAGATATGTAGTTATGACATAATTGATATGTATCTTTATTGATGTCATGTCATAGCTTATATGTAATCGTTACTGAGGACTTGTGAAAGAGTATTTATTGAGGTCTTTTTGAAAAAAATATACTTATTGATGGCATGAGTGAGAGTATATAGAGGACTTGTTAAAATAGTATTGTTTTCTTGTGTAAAGTTTTTATTGAAGTCTTGTTAAAATATTTATTGCTGTCTTTTGTAGAGTATTTATTGAGATCTTGTTAAAATATTCAATGTTTTGTGTTGAGTAGTTATTGAAGTCTTGTTAAAATATTTATTGATGTCATGGGTGAGAGTATATATGTATACATTAGATGTTGTGAGACTGACTGAAAGTAATTAAATGAGATATTGTGAGAGCATTTATTGAGGTCTTATGATAGAGTATTTTTATTATTGTTTTATTTGGTGTTAAAAGTGTGCATATGTGAAAATGTTTGAGGAAACATGAATGAATGTTGGAGTGTATAGACATGTGGGTGTTAGTGGGTGTTTGTGTGTGTGGGTGTGTGAGAGTGAAATAATGATGTGTACATTTTCTTCATTTTAGAATTCATCCTTGATTTATTAAAACATTCTGAATGTCAATTACTAGTTTGGTTTTTATATGATGATGTACAATTGATGTGAAGCCAATAAGAACTTAAAGCATACTAAAGCCATACGAACTCTTACGATACATACATTTTTTTTTCATATAAAAATGACAAATTTAATAAGGCAGCTTTTCAGTGACCAGAATGCACCATTTCACACTGAGGAATAATAAAAAAAATCATGGGGGGGGGGGGGGGG